CCCGCGTCCCCTGCATCGGCAGGCGGACTCTCAACCACTGCGCCACCAGGGAAGCCCTTCTTCATTCTTTTTAATGGTCATTGAATATTTTCATAGCACTTCTGTACTGTAATCTCGTAAGCATTCTCCTGTTAATGGCTCTTCAGGCTGTTATTTAGGGAGAGCATTACCATTCATCAGGTTCTCTGAGAGGCCCATGGCCCCCAAAATAGGGAAAGGAACCAGAAGGGATTAAGAACTCTTCCCGCACATACACTTCATGAATTGGTGTGAGGACCGGAAGTGTCCATTTTAGTTGATCCTTCCCACATTTGACACTAGCCAGAAGTGTGTGGGTTAAGGTCAGTGTTAGTCGACAACATAGATGTAAAACCTAACTGGGCCCAGTCGGTGCCTGCTTGGACCAGAGCTGCCTGGGGTCTGGGCTGGCTGTGTCGACCCCTCCCTGTCTGCACGGCGCTCAGCCAGGCCTGGGCCCACATGGGCCTCCCAGCAGGCGCTGTCTGATGCGATGGCCTCACTTCCCTCCCAGGTCTCCACAGGACGTCTGTGTTTGACCGCCTTGGCGCCGAGACCAAGGCAGACACGACGATGGGGAATAAAGTGAGTTGGAAATGGAGCTACTGGGGATTCTCAAATTCTTGTCTTCCCTGGGTGTTGTTCCTGGCATTTCCCACATACATCTCACCCTGTCTCACCCACCTATCCAGGCCCAGTGCCCTTTTCTGCACTGGTGGCTTCCCTGTCTGTCTTCTATCCCGACCTCTCTCCCAATTTCCAGCCCCGGGGGTCTGGCAAGTCATGGATGCCGCCCTCGGACCCCTCCCACCACCATGTCCCCAAATTGTCCTCAGCATCTTCCCCCAAAGCAAAACGTCCCCTGGGCCCTGTCTCGGGTGCTCCACCGTCCCCACTCCAGGCAGTCTTGAGTCTGATGGGGCCATCTGTCCCCACCTGTCTGCCACCTCTCCCTGCCTGCGTAGGGCAGTGGCCTCCTGGCTGGTCTCTGCACAGCTCCTGTGAACCCCTCCAGCCTTTCGCCCACAGCGGCAGCACGTGCTGCCTCCAGGACAGGCCCTTCCCCCTCGCCCTTGGGAAACCCTTCAGAGGCTTTTCACCACGTGCTCAGGCGCAGCCCGCTCTTCCTCCTCCACCGGCAGTCCCGCAGGCCTAACCACGGCATGTGCTTGGGAGACGCAGCCTGAGCCCATTGCCTGGCACAAATCCGTCTCTGCCACCGCCTGGCTGCGTGGCCTTGACTGTGTCACTTAAGCCCTTTGCACCTCAGTTTCCTCCTCCGTATAGTACCTCACAGCGTGGTCATGAGGACTGAGTGAGGTATAGCTGCGTAGCGCGGGGGCTGTCTGGTGCAGGGGTGAGCGTCTTTATTTATTTATTTTAAAATGTATTTTATTTTATTTTATTATTTTTGGCTGCGTTGGGTCTTCGTTGCTACGCGTGGGCTTTCTCTAGTTGTGGCGAGCGGGGGCTACTCTGTCGTGGTGCGCAGGCTTCTCACTGCGGTGGCTTCTTGTTGCCGAGCATGGGCTCTAGGCGTGTGGGCTTCAGTAGTTGTGGCATGGGGGCTCAGTAGTTGTGACTCGTGGGCTCTAGAGCTCAGGCTCAGTAGCTGTGGCGCACGGGCTTAGTTGCTCCGTGGCATGTGGGATGTTCCCGGACCAGGGCTTGAACCCGTGTCCCATGCGTTGGCAGGTGGATTCCTAACCACTGCGCCACCAGGGAAGCCCTAGTGAGTATCTTTAAGTGGCACCTTTGAGTAACTCTGGTGGAGCTCTCCAGCTGCCTTTTGTTCCTTGTTCACCAGGGCTCACCCACTCTGGCTTTTTCTCACTGCCTAAATCTTATCATGAGTGTGATAATAGCACTCAGGATCACGTGGCTTGAAGATGCAGCCATGGAGAGCTTCGCACCTAGTGAGTGTGCCGTAAATATGATTCTAATTCCTGTCTTGGGGACTTAGACGGCACTCTTTACTCTCTTAAACGTTGATTACCCAGAGAAGGCTGTCCTGAACTCTGAGAGATGAGGCCTCCCTGTACCCTGCTCTGCAGCGCTCCCCTCTCCTCCCAGGAACACTAATTAAGGCTCATGGGATCTTAATTCCCAGGGATTGAGCCTGGGCCCTTGGCAGTGAGAGCGGAGTCCTAACCACTGAACCTCCAGGGAATTCTCTCTCGTAATTAGAGAATTACTTGTGCTATATCCGATGCTGTGTCTGTTTTCCCCACTGGACTGTGAGCCCCCTGAGAGCAGGACCAGGCCCGTCTTGGTCACCACTGGGTCCCCAGCACTGCCCAACACAGGGCCAGGTATTGACCTCGGACTCAGAGAATGTCTGTGGAGCGAATGACCAAATTTGCCTTTTCTCTCACGTTCACCTGTAGACCTTTGCAAATGGTCTTCCCTTTCGCCTCCCCTCCCGCTCCCTCTTTATTCGACTCACTTCCACTCGGCTTTCAGATTTCATCTCTGATGTCCCTCTCCAGGGAGCCTTCCTCTCCTGGCCTCCTCCAGCTCCCTGGACTTGCCCTCTCATGACTCTGATCACTGTCTAGTGTGTCACCGATGGGTGTTTTTCCTGACTGTGAGCCCCGTGACGTAGGCACAGATGAGGCAGCTCTCTGTGAATGCATGCTGAGTGACTAAGTGACTCACTTGTCCTGTCTCTGACCTCCACAGCCCACAGGAGTCTTCAGCCGCCTGGGGGCCACCCCAGAGACGGACGAGGATCTGGCTTGGGACAGTGACAACGATAGCAGCAGCTCTGTCCTGCAGTATGCCGGGGTCCTGAAGAAGCTAGGCCGGGCCCCAGCCAAAGCCAGTCCCCAGCCCGCACTAACTGTCAAAGCCAAGGCCACAAGCTCGGTGGCAACGGCTGCCGCCCCAACGCTGCGGCGCCTGGCATTTTCCTCACGACCTGGGCTCGAGAGGAAGCCGGAGTCCCTATCCAAAGTCAGCATCATCCAGAGACTGGGCAAGGCTGCCCTTGTGCCGGAGGCCCAGGACAGCCAGGTCACGAGCACCAAGAGTAAGTCCTCGGCTGAGGTCAAGGTCACCATTAAGAGGACTCTGGTGGGGCCCCGGGGGAGCAGCTCCAGCGAGGGCCTTGGTGCCCAGATGGACCACGCGGGCACTGTGAGCGTGTTCAAAAGACTGGGCCGCAGGACCTTCTAGCCCAAGGGTGGGGCGCAGGCCCCTCTCCAGACTCCAGGCTCCATCAGAGTCTTCAGCGAGGGCGCGCTCATGCCTCCCTGCCGGCTGCTGGATGACACTGCTTGTCTCCCTCAGGCATTCTGCCAGCCTGAGCTTTCTGGGGATTCACCCGGTTTTTCTGAGTCTGAGATGGTCATTGTGGCCCGGCCTTGCCGCTCTGGGACTTTCCCTTCTCTCGCGTCCTCTGTTCTCTCCTCTCTGACCGTGGCCTTGGCAGGACACACTTTTCTACCTCTCCAAGTGCCAAGTGCCCTTTTCCTGTCCTCCCTTCCCCATCCTCCCTCTCAGCAACAGCTGCTGCCTCAAACCCCGGCTCCGGGCCTCCCTGTCCCCCAGGGTGGGTGTCGTCTGAAGGGGCTCCCGTATCCCCCACCCCCCTGGCTTCCTCGCTTCCCTCCCTCCTCTGCCCCCTCCCCCTGATGCTTTGACTTCTCTCTCTCCGTCTCTTCACTCTGTTCATTTCTCTTCTGTTTTCTGTCCCTGTGGCAAGGCCCGACTGTCCGCTGCGTCCTGCCTGACCCTCCTGCACCTCCGGCCTCCCAGCGGCCCCCTCGTCGGCGGCGGTGGCGTCGAGCCTGTAGAGACTGTTAGCCGCCGTCACTCCTAGGCTGGAGGGACCTCCCCAGACCCCAGGCTGCAGCTGGGGCACCTGCCTGGGCATCTTTTTCCCTGAAAGTCGGTGGCGGGTGGCGGATAAGGGGCACTAAGAAGGGAAGCCAGCACTGAGAGAAGAAAACAGCTATTTTAATATATTTTTGTGACTTTCAGACTGTTTCCCTCCCCTCCTTCAGGGCGAGTCGCAGGACTGTTTTTCACATGAAGCACAGTGTGGGCGGGGCACCCACGAAGGGTTGGGCCTCGTCTCTGAGGGTCAAGCTCCCCACATACATAGGTGGGCCGTGTTTTTGCTGCAGGCCCCGAGCTGAAGGGAGTCACGGTCATGGTCATCATCTAGTTGGGCCTCCACCTCCCCTCGGCAACGCGCAGGGCTTCTGTCCCTCTGCCCTCCCCTTCCACAGATTTCCCCTGTTTCTGCCACTCTGCCTGTGGATGGCTTTCCAGACCGCAGGCTTCATTTGTGTGGGTGCCTGTGGATTTGACCGTTTACCTACTCATCACTGCACAGCACCTACTCTGTGCCAGGCCTGTTCTAGGAGCTGGGGATCCATCCATGAGCAAGGCAGACAAGTCTCTTCCTGTGTGGCTGACCTCTCTAGCCAGGGAGACAGGTGGTAAAGTAATCAGTAAATCACAATTTGCCGTTTGAACCATTTTTAAGTGTACTGTTCAGGGGGTGCCCAAAGAATTGGAAGGGTGACTGCAAGTGACCAGTGCTCTTAGATGTTTGGGGCAAGAAGGCCTTTCAGAGGAGGTAACCTGTAGGGTGGCCTGTGCAGTTCAGGCAGAGGAAGCAGCCAGGGCCACAGCTCTGAGGCGGGATAGTGAACACGGAGACCACCAGCGTGGCTGGCAGGTGAGTGAGGGGCCGGAGGAATTTGGACATCCTCCCAGGAGTGCTGAGGAGTCTGGGAGGGTTTAAAGCAGGCAAGTGATGATCTGAGTTGCCTTTTACGAAGATTGCTTGGGCCACTGTGAGGAGGACAAGTTGCTGGGAGGGCAGGGGCGGAGGTGGGGAGGCAGCGTGGGGAGAGATGGTGGGTGGGGGAGGCAGTGGGTGGACCTTGGGTGCGCTTCGGAAGGGGCAGCAGGACTCTCCACACGGGTGGATTGGAAATTGGGGCAAGGGGAGGGGCTGGATCACACCTAGATGGAGGACTTGAGCGTCTAGAGGAAGGTGCTGTTTGTGGAGCCGGCTGGGGCGGGAGGGCGCTCAGCTCTCAGGCGTTGACTGAGAGGTGAGCAGGCTGCTGGGGCAACAGCTTGGGGGGTGCTCAGAGTACAGCCGTGTTCAAAGCCGAGGGCCTGGCGATACCAGCTGGAAAAGGGTATAGAGAGAGGAGGGGACCCGGAAGGGAGTTGGGGCCCTTTTCCCGTGTAGAGAACAGGATCTGATAAGGAGATTACCAAGGAGTGGGCAAGGGGTTTGGAGAACTAACTGCAGGTAAAGCTGAGATTAGAACTCATCCCTTTTGTTTGTTTGTTTTCATTGTGGTAAAATATACATAACACAGAATTTACCATTTGAACCGGTTTTCAGCGTACTGTTCAGTGGCATTAAGTACATTCATATTGTTGTATAAGCATCACCATCATCCATCTCCAGACCTGTTTTTGTCTTTGTAAGTGATCATCCACTTATTTTTAGGTTTTTAGTAACGTCCTTTGGGGAGGCTACTGCGTGTCAGGCGGCGTCCCAAGCACTGGGCCTGTGGTGTGAGGGGCTGGACTTCAGAATGAGGGGCAGTGGTAGAGTGGTAGAGGGAGGACCCATAGACCCCTTTCCTGGTGAGGCCCAGGCCAGACCCTCGTGGACCTTCTGGATCTCAGAAGGACGGCAAAGGACGGCAATGTCAAGATTCCAGAGGCCGCCCTTTTGTGTCTGGGCCACAAGGGGCCGCTCACACATATACACAGGTTTCTTGCTGGTCTTCAACTCTTCTTTTTACCCCCTCCCCCCCCGCCCCAGTAATTTCCTTGAGTTCCACTTCATGGATAATTTTAGCAACTGCCAGGGTTAAGTGGAAGAGTTCCAGTTACTAAATTTAAGAGCACGGGGTAATTTCTTGATGTGTAATAGGAACTGAAATGATATAAAAGCATATATAGCTCACTTCTCATGAAAAGCTGATGAGGTTAGTCGAGTCACTCTTGCCTCCTTCCAGAGGCGCAGAGGGGAACGAACTGCTGAAGGCCTCACCAGCTGGGAAGTGGCAGCACTGGGCTTGCCATCAGGGAGGTGACCAGGAGCCTCGCCCTTTAGCCCCTGCCCTGTGCTGCCTCAACCGCAGATTTGAGAAAAGGCCCTTTTGGAAAGGGGAGAGGAGGGTCATAGGAGAGTGGTTTTGGACTTGCTATAGTTGTCTGTGTGTGCATGTTACCCCGCCCCCACCAACTTACCCTAGGGAGCATTTGCAGCTCTGGGAGACCTCAGGCCATGCCCATCCTGCCACCAGCTGCCAGACAGGGTGGAGCCGGACACCTCCTCGGCCTCCCAGCCAGCCGCTCCAGAGTGCCAGTGTCCCACTCATTTGATATGGCGATTCCTGCAAACAAGCCCCAACAGCTGTGGCCCACAGGGGTGCGTTATTTTTTCTCTGGTTCTGTGAAACGTATTTGAGCATAAATAATACATACACACGGTGCAAAATGCCAAGATACAAAGGGCTTCATGGTGAAAAGTCTCTTCCCAAGTCTCCTAGCTCCCCAGTCCACTCCTCAGAGGCCACTAGTGTTAACGGTGTCTTGGATAAGCCTTCCAGAGATGTGTGTGCGTGCGTGCGCACGCACACACATACATTCACACATACATACAAGAGGAACACACAGTGCACACAGTCGAGCACACACGCACGTTAACGGCCTAGCTTACTTACCCAGTCCTTTTTGGAAGGGAATTCAGATTGTTTCCAGTTCCTTGTTACTACAAGTAGTGCTGCAATGGAGAAAGGCAGGGTCGATTCAGGGGTGAATTTGAGGAACTCCAATCATATCACTTTAGTGCAAACACTGTTATTGGGTCACTAGCAGATCTGAATGAGGTTCTCCCCCAAGACTATTGGCACTCTTCAGTTGATTTACTTATACATATATCACCCCATTCCAAAAAGGAATTAAGAGCAGTTGGATTCTTCTAATTGGAGACCGCTGGGGGAAGCGGATCAGGGGATGCTAAGAGCTAATATGGACCACCACCTAGGAAGTACAAAATACGTGCTTCGTTAAGTTGATAGGGCTTAAGAGGTGCTTTGTGCACTGGGGCCTGCCCTCTTGTGCTGCTTTTGGGAACCCTGCAGCCACCACTGTGTAGATGAGCCTGGGCTAGCCTGCTGGATAATGAGAGATGTGGTGCGGCCAAAAAAGAAAAAAAAGTAACGGGGGAACCCCAATATATAAAACATGCTTAAAACAGAAGAGCAGTAATTTATTAGCATACATTTAAATGTTTATTTTGCATTGATTCATGCGAACAACACAAAATTCAAAGGTACAAAAGGATATATACAATAAGACTGTTTTGTGCCCTACTGGGCAAAAGACTAGCAAAAAAGTTAAAGTCTCAAGTGTTGGGGAAGATTTGGAGTAATAGGAGTGTATATACTGCTGTTGGAATGTAAGTTGGTATCAACCATTTTGGAAAATAGTTTGATAGGTTGTAGTGTAATTGAAGATGACATATTCTCCAACCCAGTAACTACCTTTCTGGAGGAGCTTACACATGCACACAGGACATGTATCAGAATGTTCATAAGATCACTGTTGTAATGCCATAAAAAACTTGGAAACAACCCAAATATCCATCTGCTGGAGAATGGGCAGATTGTGACATAGATGTTCTAATTATCTAATGCATAGTGAATCCCCTCAATACTTAGTGGCTCAGGTCAATAATCAGTATCTCTTACGGCTCTGGGTGCTGACTTGCGCAATTAGACTGTTATAACTTGGGCGCTCTCATGTGCTTGCTGTAAGATCTTGGCTGGGGCTGGCGTCCTCTTGAAAGCTTCCCCAGTCGTCTGGTGGTTAACCAATACTGGCACTTAGATAAAACCTGAGTGTGGGCTATCAGCCAGAATGCCTACATGTGGCCTGGGCTTCCTTACAACATGGCAGCTGGGTTCAAAGAGCAAGCTTCTCGGGGCTTCCCTGGTGGCGCAGTGGTTGAGAGTCCGCCTGCCGATGCGGGGGACACGAGTTCGTGCCCCGGTCTGGGAAGATCCCACATGCAGTGGAGCGGCTGGGAAGATCCCACATGCAGTGGAGCGGCTGGCCCCGTGAGCCATGGCCGCTGAGCCTGTGCGTCCGGAGCCTGTGCTCCGCAACGGGAGAGGCCACAACAGTGAGAGGCCCGCATACCGGAAAAAAAAAAAAAAAGAGCAAGCTTCTCAAGAGACTCAGGGAAAACTGTATTGCCTTTTCTAACCTAGCATTGGAAGTCACTCACATTGCTTCACTTCTGCCATAGTCACTAGCCCACCTAGATTCAAGAGGGACCATAGGCCTTATTTCTCAGTGACAGGAATGTCAGTGTCTCATTGTAAGAAGGGCATATGGGATGAGAGATCACATTGTGGCCACCTTGGAAGATTATATAGGGTTGGCCAAAAAATTCATTCGGGTTTTGGTAAGATGACAAGGAAAACCCTGAACGAACTTTTGGGCCAATCCAGTACATCAATACTGGATGTATTACATTATGTATTGGATGTGGAATATTACACTTCAATGAAAATGAACTAAAGTTGTACATATCAATATGAATAAAGCAAAACATTGGGTGATAAAAGCAAATTACAGAAGAATATGTGTAGTTTTAAAATATGCAAAATAGGGAGTTCCCTGGTGGCCTAGTGGTTAGGATTTTGGGCTTTCACTGCCGTGGCCCAGGTTCAGCCCCTGGTCGGGGAACAGATCCCGCATGGCCAACAACAAAAAAAGCGAAATAATGCATATTGGTTATACATACTTAGAGTGTAATGAAAGTATAAAATGCATGGGAATGATAAACTCCAAATGTAGGACGGTGGATCAATTCAGGGGTGGGATGGGATGTGATTGGAGGGGTGCACATGGGGTCCAACTGTATGGTAGTGGTCTTTTTTTTTTTTTTTTTGGTACATGGGCCTCTCACTGTTGTGGCCTCTCCCGT